CCAGAGGGCCAGTCCTTGGCTTGCCGGGGATCTGCGTCCTGCGGTTGCTCCCAGACTCACTGAAAACACCCTCACTTAGCATCTTAAGAAAAAAAAAAAAAAAAAAAGAACCGTCACGAATGTGTGTCGCTTTACGACTTACCAAGAGTTTTCACTCACCGAAATAGGACTCATTCATTTTTTTATGCAACAAGCATTTATTGAGCGCCTACTGTGTGCAACAAGATTCAGTGAACACTTGCTATTGCACCCAGCATTAAACAAAATAGACAAAAATCAGGGAGTTCACTGAGGGTAATAAGAAAGGTATAATTACACTCCTTCCTTTTTAAATGGGAAAACTGAAACTCTGAAATGGGAAATGATGTCTGAGAAATTATTAGCTTTAATAATAATCACAACAGCAACAACTCCCGCTTTTTGTTGTACAATTACTATACGCTATATACTGTCCTGGCTTTTTATCCATCTGGTAGTTTATTTACTTATTCATACACAGAACTGCCCTCCTTCTCACCCACCAGGTGGCCAGCTTTGTGTCTCCATTGCCCACCTACTGGGAGCGCATGGTCCATATTTGAGCTCATTCAGGCTGGAGAGAGCCAACTGTTACATTTTTAGGAATTTTGTGAGCGGTCACTAAACAAAGCCATTATTAAAAATTAAAGTATACAAATTTACAATTAGATCAATTATATTATAAACCAAAGTACCAAATATTCAAAACTCATTACTTCCTAATTATTTCACTACATTTTACCGTTTATGCGCTTCAGGTAGTTTGTGCCTATTTTATCTGCATTGTGGAAATACTACAAATGATGTGCTACTGCTCGTTTCTTTCTCTTCGTTGTTCATTCAGCGACATCCTTTGGTGGTTTGAAATCTGCCATGATGAGAGTATTCATACCACACAAATCAGCAAATGCTTGGAATTAAGAATGTGATGGAGGAAAGTTAACAGTGCAGTTTAAATTTAAAAGTGTGTCAACTCTGTGGCTGTGACGTTGTGAGTAGCAGCAGAAATTTGAGGACATATTCTTCCACTGTTAGAAAATTATCCAGTTCAGCAAAGAAGCCACTCATGTCATTGACAAACTAGTGAAGTTCCAACATATCTCTTGATTGTTTCGCTTTCTACCTAGTCATTAACATAAAGGAAAATACCAACCAACATTCATGTTGGAACTACACTCATTGGTCAATACAACCATAGGAAGGCTACATGATATCAAAGAAGACATACTGTTAGAATCAATTCGCTATATGGAATTTACAATAAAGAGTATTGTGTGTTTTATTGTTATTTGTAAGTTTTATGCGACACATCCTTTATGTCAGCAAAAGTTATAATACACATATAACACATGTGTACACAGGGCTGACTACTTAATTTTGTTGCCCTGTGCAAAATAAAAATGTGGGACTCCTTGTTCAAAAATTATTAAGAATTTCCAGACAGAGCATTCCAACCTCGAACAGATCACACAATATTAAGCCAGCTCTGTATATGCATACATGCCCCCCTCCCTTCCCAGCTGGTTGTTAGACATTTGCAGCTTCACCGCCCAGCACATACTTGCAATGCTGGCCAAACCTGAATATCCTATGCTGCTAAATCAGACAAGAGGAAGTAGATACATTAAAATCCTGGCTCCATCACTTATCACTCTGTGACCCAATCCTCCCAGAAATCAGATTACTCATGTACAAAGTGAGAACAATATGACCTAACTCATAGAAATGTTCAGGAATAACAGTAACGGTATTTACTGACTCTTCGTATGTGTCATACAGTGTTTTGGGTACTTTGCATGTATTAGCACTTAACCCCTACAACACCACCTACCGAAGTAGGTACATTATAATCCTTCTAATTTTATAAATAAGGAAATAGGTACCTAGAGATTGAGTGCTTGCTCATATAGTTGTAAATGTTGGAGATAAGTTTCAGATTCAGTTAGTTTGACTCCAAGATACTTGTAACTACTGCTCTGTGATGTCCACCAAGATGCCTGATACTGTGTACATGCTCAATTAATACCAGTTATTATTTTAACATAATGGATAAGAAAGTGCTTTGTAAACTGAAAAGAGACCTACAAATGTACTGATTACTGTCGCTATAAAATCATCTTTGATTGTTAATTAGAAAACAGGACCATATCACGTTTTAGGGAGACAAAAACCTCATATATTGCTGATGGAAGTGGAAATCGGTACCTCCCTTACAGAGATAAATTTGACAATATCCATCAAATTACACATGCATTTACTCTCTGACCTTGTAATTCCATTTCTGGGACTTATTTTGTATAACTGCCATATACATATACATATACATATACATATACATATATGCAGCATCATTACTAATAGCAAGAATTTGAAAATAACACAGTGTCCATCAAAAAAGGACTGGAAATATAAATTATAATATGTCCAAGTAATAGAATACTATTCAGCCACAGCAATAACAAAAGAACAAGGAAGCTTTCCATACACTAAGATAGAAAGATCTCCAAGATATCCTAAAATTTTTGAAAGTGCAGAACTCTGTATACAGTGAAACAAAGTGGGAAATAAATAAGAATATATATCTGTTTTGTATTTACACAGAAAGAAACTCTAGGGATACAGGAGAGCTAAGAAGTAGTGAAAGGGCAGGGGTGAGCAAGACTTTTCATGATAAATACAGTTTTTATTTATTTTGATATTTGAATAGTGGATATATTACACATTCAAAAATGTTTAATGATTAAATGAAGAGATACTGAACAAAAATGAAAAATGTGAAATTTAGAGGAACAATTATTTCACAGAAGAATCAATGCAATGAAAAGATTCTAAACATAAAGTAGTAATCATAACTTTATTTTCTTTTAAATCTGCCAAAGCATTTTGTTGGCCACAGAATGTTAACAAACCTCTTTTTTTTTTTTTTTGGCAATTTAGGACTTTCGGAAACTTACACTTTTTCAACATTTTTAAAAATTACACAAGTAATTGATGGTAATATATAAAGAAAAAACTATGCCTTCCCCAGACCCCTTTTATCTTGGTGGTTGTGTATCTTCCCCGTGTGAACATAGACATATAAGAAACATACAAATTTTTTAAAAGTTATATTATACTTATATTGTTGTATAACTTGAACTTTTTAACCAAACTGTAAACCCTTTTCTTTCTTAGCAAATATTCATCTACATTATTATTAACGGCGACATTCGTTTTTCTTAATATTAATGCATATTTTATTTAATCGGATTCCTATTGTGAGATGTTTAGGCAATGTTTATTATAATAAACAGTGCTTTTTAAAAACTGAGATGTCAAATTCCATTTTTGCTATTGATTTTAGAAAGGATGCCTTTAAAATGATGCTGCTTTGAAATTACTTATTTACAAGTAGCTCACTTAATTACAACTTAGCCATGGTTTCTCGCGTATGATCCTGTGAGCTAGACAATTTTGGAAAGTGGGGAACTCTAACTAAAAGCGCTTTCAAATGCATATTAAATGTAACAAAAACGAAATCATGGGTGCACAAACAGCGCTGTTCGAAATTTTCACGTCTTTTGCTCCAGTTATTACAGCGCGCCAGCGTCGTTCACACGCTGGTCTTGAAGGTTAAGCCGGGCGGGGTCGCGAACCTCCGCCTATTGCCTTGTGGTCCCATCCCGCGGTACCCAGACAGCGGACTTGGAACGGCCACTGCCCAGATGCAGAGGGGAATTATAGTAGTGATGCACCGGATGTGTGCGTGGAAGTGACTGAAGTCAACTCACAACCGATTGGTTCTCCCGAGAGGCCCTAAGCCTCCTTTCGCCTGCCACTGGCCACCGGGTTTGTCTATTTGAATAGTCCCCGCCCCCTGGAGAAGCCGGGTCCCAAAGTCTCACTTCTCCTTAATTATTATTGGTCTGTGTTCCAGTCCATCTTCTTCTTACGCCTGTCGATTGGTCCTTAGGCCTGGGAGCCCGCCCTCCCTCCCGCCCTCCCTCCCGCCCGGCTTAGAGGACAGTGGGGAAGGCGGGTGGTGGGGCCGGGGGCCTGAAGCGGTGGTACCGGCGCTGGCGGCGGCAGCTGAGTCCTTGGCCGAAGCCGCGCGGTGAGTCTGGGGCCTGGCGGACCCCTCCGAGGCGGCGGAACGTCCAGACCCACGGGCAACTTGGTCCGTGGGGGGACCCCGGGAAGTTGTCCGTCTGGGACGTGGGGTCCGCTCAGTTCTGGCCCCACAGACTTGGGCCCCGCCTGCGCTCTTGACCCTCACCCCGCGAGGCAACGCCCACCTTCTCCCGGACACCCAGGAAACCCTCGGACCCTTTAGCCTGCCGTGCGCAGAGACTGGCGCTAGGAAGGCCGGCCCATCACTATATTGCTGCTGCGCCTTTGGGTCTCTTTGCCCATCAGTCACCTCTTCTGAGCCACCTACAAATCTACCACAGAGAGGGCTAACGTCAGTATCAGCCCCTTACACTCCACCCTGGAGACCTCTCAAGGACCCATTCCCCGGAGCTGAGCTCGGCT